TTTTTTCTTGGGGGGGGGGGGGGTTCTATGCTGTAGCTAATACCACAGGTTTAAAATGAGCTTTATTTTATCTCTAATTACTATGGAAATTTTTTTTGATTCCCATTAATAAGGAAATTTAAAGACAATGGTCAAAAAGTACAATTAAACTGATTTAATGTGTTTGGTTGTTTCCTAAACAAAATATGTGGTAGATCAGAAGATCAATAACTTTAATTGGCCAATTGTTACTTCATTTATAAAGTAAGTGTGATAATTTTAATGCATCAACCATGAAATGATGATTTCAATGTGGTTATGATGATTGAATGACTTCGTTTTCCCGAAGGAATCAAAATATTTCATTTTGGACTCAGTGTATCAGTTTCTGGTGCTGCCATCATGTGGCTAATATCAAAGGCTTAAACTGAGCAATATTTTTTAATCTAATGCTGTTTTTCTTTTTCTTTTTTTCCTTTTTTGTAGAAATATCTAAATTTTAATTTAGATCTAGAAAGTTTAAAAACAACTTTTTTCTGCCCTTTCATGATAAGGGTTTAAAACTTATTTTTAAAATTATAGAGATGAAAGCATTTTTAAACAAAAATGACAGGTAATAGGAGCACCATCTAGTTTCCATATTTAAAACTAATATTAAGCTTCATTTGTATTTCTCTGCTCCGTTTCTCAGTGATTAGAATGATGTAACCCATACCTGCCAACTCTTCCGGATTTTCCGGAAGATTTTGTTTTCATATTTAAAGTGGTAGTAAATATATACTATTTTTTCTCTTACAAACTTAATTTTTAAATGATTTTGATCACCACTATTCTTACAAAAATTAAGCACATATATTAATATGCGTTACTATCATGGTTGTCAACTTAAGTTTGCTTATATAAAACGTATTTGTTTGCTTAAAATTGAAGTTTCAATTCCATTTTAATACCACTGGGAAGAATGATAATGGAAGGGATTAAAAGTTGGCAGGTATGATGTAACCGAAATAAAATGTTAGTTGTAGTTTCTCTGCATTGTATTCATTATCATGCAACAATAATTAAATAGTTCCAGGCATACAGAAAATATGATTTTTATTTTTATTATTTTAATTTTGTGATTTTATTTTATGATTTTAGAAAAAGTAGGCAAAATTTTGAAAATTAAAAATTATTGACAATAAATTTTTTAAAAAATTTTTTTAAATAATTTTTTTGCTTTAAGATTTGAGGAAAGTCAATACAAGTTCTAAAAATAATCAAACGCTGTTTCTCCTACACTAATATTCTAATAAAGTGATCCCTTTACTTTCTAATTTTTCAAAAAGGTTTTGTTCTATCAAATACTAATCATCAATATATCATACTATATATTTGTTACGTGCAAATATATATATATATATTTTAAATTGGATTTTGTATGAGNATATATATATATATATATATATATATATATATATATATATATATATATATATATATATATATATATATATATATATATATATATATATATATATATATATATATATATATATATATATATATATATATATATATATATATATATATATATATATATATATATATATATATATATATATATATATATATATATATATATATATATATATATATATATATATATATATATATATATATATATATATATATATATATATATATATATATATATATATATATATATATATATATATATATATATATATATATATATATATATATATATGTATGGTAGAGGCCTCTCAAGCGTTTATATTTTTGTCTAAAACTGATGATGTATGTACCTCTTGAATAATATAAATGTAAGAAATATAAAAATATCTAAATCTTAGAATCTTTGTAAATTTGAGAGCTTTGCTAATGCAAGTATTTTTAGAAACCAGGTATTTTTGTGACATGTCAAAATGACATGGTGCCATAAGCTCTGAATTTTAGCCATAAATTTTTTTCTCAAATGGCAATAGTATGTTTAATTTTACCGAGATTAATGTAGCTAAATTTATTTAATGTTACGTGGTACACTTTAACAATTATTTTCATTATCTGTTACCGCGAAACTTATTTATTTAGGACCTATGTATTTTATTAGAGTATCAATTCTTTAATTGCAGATAAACATTCAGCATTTAAGCCGTAACTTGAAAGAAAAAAATGTTAGTTGTACGTCGAATTTTATAGAGAAAAATATGAATAAATTGTTACCTTAACAAACACAATGAAATTAATTATAAATTCATATTTTATGCAAGTATCAATATTTGAAATTATGCCATACATTTTGCATTTGAGCGGTTATTTTTTTTCCTCCTAAAATTGCAGTAGAATTTACGGGTATTAGAAGAATCTTATAGGTCGTTTTAATGAGGGAAATATTAATAAATTTTTAAGGAATTAAGAAAAAATTTCAAAATTAATTTTACACATTTTCCCCTTGATTCCTACATTTTCAATTCTTAGAAATTTTATACGAGCTTCAAACTTTATAATAGGTCTATAAGCTTTGTATTTAAGCTGCAATTTATTTCCATACTAATAGTAGATTGTTGAGTTTTTTTGAGGGAGAAGTCTTAATATTTGTAATGCAAAGGGCACTTGAAAACTTAACTTTGAAAATTTGAATCGTTAAATTTTCTCGAACATGTATTTTTTTTTCAATTACAAATTATTTATTTTTTTTACAAGAATAGCAATCTTTATAATGAAATACTCTTTTGCCATTTAACTTATTTTTTTCTTCAAAATTTGTAGCATAATGTCTAGTTTTTAGAAAAATGTATATTTCAGACAGATTTATGTGACATGACGAAATGTCACGGTACTATAATCTCTGAATTTTAGCAATTTTTTTTTCTCACTATTGGCAATAGTATGTAGCTAAATTTTTTAATGTTATGAGGTACATTTTAAAAATCATTTTCTCAAATTGGTATCACAAAACTTATGTGTTTAGGATCTACATATTTTTGAAGTGTCAATCTTTAGATATTTCACACGAGTTCACACTTTAAAATGAAGCTTATACTTTTGCCATATAGGGTAAACTAACTAGTGAAGGAACACTTAAGCTTCACTTGCCTTTTAAAAAATCATATTAATTTCAAAATTCGTAATTTTAGTGAAATGGCAGTGTCAACATATTTGTTACTAATTGCAAATTATGTAAAAAAAATTGTAGAGAACTTACATAATATTGTTTTAAAGTTTTGGAGGTTCAAATAACAAGTAGTAAGAAGATCAAGTGAAGGAACAGCTCTTACCAATGAATGAACACCCAGTAAAGGAACACTTAACTTTGGTTATTTTTTAATGCTCTTTATGAATTTATAAGTCATACAAATATTTAAAAACAAACCTATTCGTGAAATTATAACATATAAATACTTGGAAAATGTTAACTTTTTTTTGTAATCATGAATTGAAAATTAAAGTGTCAACATATTAACACATACTGTTCATTCACTGGGAAATCTATGCCCAGTAAAGGAACATGCCTGCTCCCTCACTGGTTAGAAGTTGTTTTTCGTATTTTTAACATACTTTTGATGCGGAACATCACTAAAGGTACAAGAAAATTAAAGTTTATCTTTTGTTTTCATTAACTTAGAAAAAAACCTAGTGAATGAACACTTGTTCCTTCACTGGTTTTTCATCGTTTGGTGATCCAGTGAATAAACACCCCCTTATCTCTGTACTTTATTATGCTATGATGCTTTAAAAAATAAAACGTAACTTCAATAACTACATTTTGAATTCTCTTTTTCACAGTTTGAAAAATAAAACTATTGCATGCAATTAATTCCACTTCAAACATATAAATACAAACACTCACCTTATAATTTTTTCAAAGAAACAAGGTGTTGCAGAGATAATAACAAATTCAAAAAATTTTCCAGAGAAGTCTACCAGGTAATCCGATAACGAGTCTACCAGTCTTGACCAGGTAATCCAAAACATTGGTAGATGACTTCCTATTGTTTGGTAGTAACCTATTGTTACCAATCAATCTAAAGAAAATCTTTCAAATTCTTATTTTTAATCAATATATATTAAATGTTCCTTCACTGGGTAGTGTTCCTTCACTGGTTGGTTTACCCTAACTGCTATTTTTTTTAAAAAAAATTGCAGTATGTCTAGCAGTATTTAGAAGAATGATTATGTAGTGAGTAGTTTAAGCTTTATTGAGGAAAATATAGCTAAATTTTTAACGTTTTCAAGACACTTTAAAAATTGATTTCTCAAATTAGTGCACTGAGAAGTATAATCTTAGATCATAAATATATTTTGTAAGCGTCAATCCAAAATCTAAATGAAAAGGAGCAAAAAGTTTACCTTTATATTTAAATTTTTAGAATTGTAATTACTGAAAAATTTCGAACTATTAAAGAGCATTGATCTAATATAATTATTTAAAGTTTAAAGTTGAATAAATTTAATTAAATAATTGGAAGTTGAGAATTTTTTTTATTGGGGTTAATTGAGAAGAAATGTATTAAAAAAGCTTGAATGAAATGAATGAAAATCTAATGAAAGTCGAATGTCTAATAATCTAATGAAAGTCTAATGTCTAATGAAAAATCTAATGAAAGTCTAATGTCTAATGAAAATATAATGAAAGTCTATTGTCTAATGAAAATCTTATGAAAGTTTAATGCAATTAATAAGAAGGCAAGAACAACACGTTCTATTGGTTTTATTTTTATGTTTATTAATAAGCATCATGCCTAATAAACATAAAAAAATTTATCGATTACATTTCATACAGATAATTAGCAGAAGACATCAAGACAATTAAAAGTCATTTGTCACACAATCTAAATCATCTCAAAGGATATTGTCGAAAAATATTTAAATATTGTTTTTAACATAAATAAAGACTTATTTAAATACAACTTTGTTTAAACAATTGTATTAATTGTTCAGAGGCTTAAATTTGGCACAAATTTGAGCCCATAAGAGATAAAACTTTAGAGAAGGGGAACACAGTTCCAATAATAAATGAATACAATTATCACAATACGAAAAAAATATGCATTTATTAGAAAGCATCAAGGAATTAAAATGAATTAAGTTAAGTAACCCAAATATGGGCAGTGCATCTAATATGATCACTACTGTAAAGTATGTTTAATTGCTTGTTTTGAATGTAGATGGCAGTAAATACGCTTTAAGCAATGCAAATAAGCTGAAGTAGTAACATGAGTCTTCCGTTTTTGCAATTAAATACTACGTAGCAAAGCAACAAAAATATTTTGTTGGTAGTAAACTTTGTTCTTCGAAATTTAAAATATAAGTATGTCTTTTTTACTAAAAAAGCTCTTGTCTTGACCATTAAACATTATTGGGAGAACTAAGGTGAATTCTTTATCTTCTAAATAGTCTTGTCACGAATTTTGAATTTGTAACCATGTACAACTATTTTCAATAAAGTAAAAATGGTCATCGGACCTGTTATGGGCACTAAAAGGATTCCTAATTTGGTTACTGTGAGAAACCTGTTGCCTTATTGAAACCAGCTGCCATATTGAAATTAGCTGCCATATTGAAACTAGCTGACTGATTTGAAACCACTACCCGTTTAAACCACTTCCCAAGTTGAAAATAGCTGCCATATCGAAATCAGCTGCCATGTTCAAACTAGTTGCCGTGTCGAAACCAGCTGCCAAGTCTAAGCCTATGACATAAGTAATAACTGTTGAAGAATAAACTGTTCAAACTAGCTTCCGTGTCGAAACCAGCTGCTAAATCTAAACCCAATGACATATGTAATAGCTGTTGAAGTACAAACTGTTCAAACTAGCTGCCGTGTCGAAACCAGCTGCCAAGTGTAAACTCAATGACATAAGTAATAACTGTTGAAGTACAAACTGTTCAAACTAGCTGCCGTGTCGAAACCAGCTGCCAAGTCTAAACCCATGACATAAGTAATAGCTGTTAAAGTTCAAAAATGTTCAAACTAGCTGCCGTGTCGAAACCAGCTGCCAAGTCTAAACCTAATGACATAAGTAATAACTGTTGAAGTACACACTGCTCAAACTAGCTGCCGTGTCGAAACCAGCTGCCAAGTCTAAACCCAATGACATAAGTAATAACTGTTGCAGTTCTAAAGAGTCTTGTTTTTGTGCTATTGTGTTCAGTTTTTTCTAGAAAAACACTAAGACATGGTTGTGTGCAATGTGTGCTGCGTTTGGGTGAAGGAAGAGTGTTTTGGCCTTAGAAGAAAAAAAAAATTCTATATTTTGTAGGTCAATGATGTCAAGATTCAGAATAAGGACTAAAGATTTTCTTTGGCAAGAAAAATACATTAAACAATTTTCAACTTTTTGTCTTCTACAAAAAATAGAATAATGAAAAAAAAAATACATAGGGGCCCATATTTGGGTCGCTTTCCTTTTATTAAGTTTTCTAATACTCAGATTTAAAATTAAAATTTTTTTTTTATTACATCAACTTTTGTTAAAAAGTAATAAAAACAGCACTAGTTCAAAAAAGTAATAAATAAAACTAAAAAGCCTTTTAATAAAGAATAAAAAGTTATCTGTACACAAGTTACTTTCTATTCTATTTCACCAATAATAGATTCTATCAAAGTTATTTTAGCAAATTCATCACAGACATTTAAGTACATTTCAAAGTTTAAAGAAAAATTCACTTTAGTCGAAATTAAAATTGGGCATTCTGAACCAAAAATATGCAAAATATATTATATAAGATGCTTTATAATCATCACTTTTAATATATTTCTATAGAATTCTTGTTAAAAACGGAGTTATTAGAACTTATACCTTACTGCATCGATGAGCCACTTGTAGATGCGTGCCACGGTGTGCCATGGCACAGTGGCACGTGAAATTGGAAGCAAAAGAAGCAATAATTTCACCTCCAAGATTTTAGTCGAAACTGGTAGCAACACTGCGACTCAATTTTATAAATAATTTTTTACCAAGCCTGCAAAATTTGTCTCTGTTTTACACGATTGGGCTGTACGAATTTGGCTTATACGATTTCGCTGTAGAATATTATTGTAGGTCTGGATCGACCAATAATCGTGACCTATTTTTTCTATCATGGACATAATAAAATCAAACTATTTCTTAAAGAATTTGCCGAAAAAATAACCAAATTCAAAATTTATATATTAATTTTAAATGATTAATTATTATTTAGATTAAATAATTCCTAACTGGAGCATCTGCTCCTGATCCCCAGAGCCCAAGGTCAAGAAAACTGAGACAGGCACAGTAGGCCTTTTCCCTCTATGGGCTGTCGCTCCACTGAATTTAGTAGTAGTAGTTCAGTTTAGTTGATTAAATAATTCAAGTTTTACTATTCTTATTTATATTCACGCTGACTGAGCATTTAAAAATGTTTATTGAAAATATTTCTGAAGTTTACATTTTTATTTAATTTATATTACTTTTTTTAAATTTCTACTATTCAGACTTACATAAATAAAATGTGCTATAAGCGTATAAAAGTTGTAAAGGGCATGTATATATTTTCTTCCGACAATAGCTCTCTTCCAAAAAATGTTGGTTACCCGTAACTTACGGCAAACCAGCAGTTAATTTGCAATATCAGAAAGCACCGTTAGTGGATATAACCGTGTGGGTTGAGAAAGATGTTATATATTTTCGTTGTTAATTAATTTTGAATATAAATAATTTTAAATTAGATTTTAAAAGAAATTCTTTTACCATTTTTTTCACTAACTTCTTCGAGCTTTCTATTTAAAATTTGCTGCCATTCAAATGCCAGTCTTTTAGTTTCATCCTATTAATAAGTGGTTTTGATGATTATTATCTTAAGTTTACTGAGATTGAAATGGTTGATAATTCCTCAGATACTGATAGCTTTTTTATTCTTTTGATATTTAAATGTAGATTTGCGACCCCTAAAGTGTAGATTTGAATGACTTCATTTTTGACAAGAATTGAAAAAAAAAAAAAACTTTTTTAAGGGGGGTGAATATGGAACATCTTTTATATTACACTTTACTTTTTTGAGACTAAAATCTTAAAATGAGACGGTTTTACAAAATATTAGCAAAAGTTATTAATGGGTGATACACAAAATTAATTTACAATTAATCTGTTGAATTCACAATAAAAATTTCGTATATCGCTGTTGCTGATTACTAAATATTCATTTTGCTGATTATGATATAAAAATTTTATATATTTAAAATTTATTAAATAAATTAATAATAAATTATTTTCATTTCAAATAATTTGATACGATTTGATAATTAAGCTTCATTAAATTGTTTTAAAATGAAGCATATAGACGCTCAATAACTAATTTTGCACACTTTAAAAGTTTGCGAATCACTGCTGCATCTTAATTTTTTAATCTGAGACTAATATTTTATTTATTGAAGTATATATCTCAATTTCTAAATTTATGAAAAGTATATTATGCACTGTTAGAAATTTCTTGGAAAAAACCAAGTTACTTATTTGCTATTTTACCATATTCAATCACTACAGTCAAATAACCATAAAAAGATGTTATTGAAACTATTATGAGTAAGAAAAATTGTTTACTGACCGTTTTCCCCTTATACAGTTAAACAACGAGAATTTTAATAGTGCTCACTAAGTCCACAATGTGAAGCCACTTGCTTCTTTGCAGTTGGGTGCTCACTGTAGCCGAGAGGGCTAATCTGTCACTTTCATGACGAACTGTACAGCGTTCGCATCACAGCTTTGACATTTCTTCAACAAATGAAGAGTTTCCAGTGTCCTGCTCTCCCCAATTGGTGACCCTGAACTATTAGAAAAGTAAACTCGCATTCACGCATAGATGCTTGGCACAAAAGAATATAATATTTCCTAATTCTTACGATAGATGGCACCATCACAAACACTTCTTAAGCCACATTCATTTGGCAAAACACAACTCAACCACATTTGAACTCCATGCTCATTACCTAACGAAAAGCCTAACATAACCTCACTCTTAAGCCTAACATAACCTCACTCCTAAGCCTAGTTACATTTCATTTTTATGGTTTTTTAACTATACCAGTTGTTAAAAGTTTCAAAACCTAAAAGAAATGTTCCTAACTGTAAACTTTAAGGTTAATTGGATGGTCAGACTGTTGTCTGTAATTTCACCATAATTTCAGAATGAAAATTCTAACAGTGTACCAATTTAGATGATTAATTTTAACGTACTAGGTATTATACCAATTAACTGCATTATTTACTGATTAATTTTAATATACAGATTACACCATTAAATGTAAACTTATATAAATTAGTTTTGATTTGTTTTAGCAAGTGAAGCATTAAATATTTTTCTTAACTTAATAAGTCTCGAGTTTTCAGACAACAATATATATATTTTTATGAAACACCAAGACATATTTCAGGGAATCTAAACAAAATTTAAATACATTGTAAACTTTAGGAAAATGTGTTAAATTGAGCTATAATTAACTAATCAACACATTCAATATCACAAGATCAATTTTAAAAATATTTAGGTAAAAGTATTAATAACAACAATGGGGCATACATAACATGCTTGTCAATTACATCAAATTAATAAAAAGATATCAAAACAAAAAATCAAAATCGAATACACTATATATGCCAAGCTTAAGTAATATCAGGAATATGAATGATAAAAATACAAATGTTTCTTTGATTGGATCAAGTTCTTGTTCTGTAGCAGGAGGGGGGTTTCGATTTGGAGTAATTGGAGCACATTCCGGAATTTCAAATTCACTTCTTGGATATTCTTCCAAACTGTCATTTAACTGAAATAAATTAAAAAGTAACTATTGTAATATATTTTAATGATGTGATAAATATATTTTAGTGCTTTTAATATTAAAAACAAATAAATTAATAGCAAGTATTATAAAAAAAGGAAATCGTTTGACTCTAACAAATTTGTTTTGTATATTTTAAGTAAGTATAACGCATCATTAAATATTTATTTTTTAAATTAAGTAATATTTCTTTCGATGAAATATTATTTAATTTATAAAATAAATATATAATGATGAAATATTAACAAGTCGAAGTAATCACAAATGATTATTTATAGTGAGCTAAATAAAAAAATTTTTGGTATAATAAAAATACAATTCTGAATTGTTAGAAAAAATTCCGAAAATTTTAAATTCACTCCATGGACATTTTTCCATACTGTCATTTAACAAAAATAAATTAAAAAGAAACTATTGTAATGTATTTCAAAGAGGTAATAAATATTTATTTTATAATAGTTATAATATTAAAAACAAATAAATTTATTGTTCTTGAAAATATGAAACTGATAACTAACAAAGTAATTGTGCACATTTTAAAAATGTATAAAGTATCATTATATTTTATTTTTTCTAAATTTAAGAAACATTTAGTTGTTGAAACGTTAACAAGATCAAAACAATCACAAATGATTATTTATATTCTGCCAATTTAAATAATTTTTGGTATAACAAGAATACAATTTTAAGTTGTAGGAGAAAATTCCGAAATTTTTAAATTCCCTCCTTAGATATTGTCCACTGTCATTTAACTAAAATAAATTAAAAAGTACCTATCGTAATGTATTTTAAAGAGGTGATAATAATTTATTCTGTAATACATAGTTTTAATATTAAAAAAATGAATTAATAGTAAGTTCTTAAAACAATGAAACGGATAATTAACAAAGTAATTTTGTACATTTTAAAAAAATATAAAGCATCATTGTATTTTATCTTTTCAAAATTTACGTAATATTTCATTTGTTGAAACGTTAAAAAGATTGAAACAATCAAAAATGATTATTTACATTATACCAATTAAGATGATTTTTGGTATAATCAAAATACGATTCTGAGTTGTTGGAGAAAATTCCGGGATTTTCAAATTCACTCCTTAGATATTCTTCCACACTGTCATTTAACTAAAATGAATTAAAACATTACCTTTAAAACAAATATTAAAGAGGTGAATATATATTTTGTAATAATTTTATGATACTGAAAATAAATGAATTTAAACTAAAAATATTTGCATGGCTACTTCATAAAAACTGGAGCTAATAGAATCAAATAAAATAAACTTGTTAAAAAGATAGAAATAATCATTACGTTTTATTTTATAAATTTAAGTAGTATTTAAATTTTTGAAGAATTAAAAAGTTCGAAAAACATAACAATCATAAAAGATCAAGCGCATTATCCAAATTAATCTGATTAATAGTATTATACTAATTTAGATGATTAGTTGTATTATAAGAATTAAGATGATTAGTTGTATTATAAGAATTAAGATGATTATTTACATTATGCTGATGAAGATTATTTGTCATAAAAAAGTGCAATTTTGAGTAGTTGGAACCCATTCCGGAATTTTAAATTCACTCCATGTTTAAAAAATAAATAAAAAATAAAAAAGTTCGAAACAATAACAAACAATCATGAAAGATCATGTGCACTTTACAAATTAAGATGAGTAACAGTATTATACCAATTTAAATGATAAGTTGTATCATAAGAATAAAGATGATTATATATCATGCTATTGATGATAATTAGTAGTATTATACCACTAGTATTATACCATATATGTAATAGGCTAGTTGAAAACTTTTGGCATTCTCCAAGTGTTGCTGTGATTTTGCTGTTCGACAAGTTAAATGGAAAAGTCTACAGTATTCCCTTATTTTACAGTATTCCCTTATTACAATCAGCCCATATGCTTTTAGACTAATTAGAAAACTCTCGAAGATTTACTCAATTTGCATAGACTTAATGCAATGAGCTTAATATTATGCCAGTGTTTTGAACACAGAAGTATAGTGCATTGGAATAATTGAGCAAAAACTAATTAGACAAGTAAATATAGTTAGAAAATTAGGCTGATTATGCATATTTTTAATTAGCCTAAAAGCCTTTCTTTAATTAGCCTATTAGCCTCTGTGTAATTGCAAATTTCCAAATAAAGCTAACTGTGTAAGAAATGACATGCCTTATTATTGCTCTAAAGTATCTGGATTTATTACGAGACTAAAATGTGTAAGGCTGATTGGTTAGAAAATATTAGAATAATGAATAATGCCAATGCTTTGAATATAAAAGTATAGGGAATCAGAATAATTGAGTAAAGCTAATTATAGAAAATTAAATAGTTAGAAAATTAGAGTGATTACATCTATTTTCTAATTAGCCTAAAAGTATTGAAATTTTGAAATTGAATTTACTTATATTGTATTATACAATTGAAATTTATCAAAAATAAATCGATCTAACTGAGCAAGAAATGGCATACTTTATTATTGGCTTAAAGTATCTGGGCTCATTACGAGCCTAAACTGTGCTAGGTTGACTGGTTAGAAAATACTGGAAACTTTTCCAATTAGTTTATCTTATTGAAATGAGGTGTTAATTTGACATAAATAAAATAATAAATTTGTACCTGAAGGTGAGGATGTTTATCAAGTTTCCTTGGAGAAGGGGTTCTGGAACTTCTTCTTCTCTTCACCATTTTTGATGATTTATCTAGTACCGAAAATGTAGTTCCAATTTAAAAAGGTAAAAAAAAAAAGCTTTATAACTAATTATATTGAAAAAGTATCGATACTATCAATTCTATTGAAACTATCTATTTTCGACCTTTTTTAAAAATTTTAATTATTATGTTTCAAATTTTAAAAATTTTGATCACTTTTTCATATATATATATATATATATATTTTAACGAAACCATTTTCTGGTATATGCTCCGAGC